CTAGAGTCCGGTAATATTATCACTAGTCAATTTTTTCTTAAGAGTTTGGAACTACTCTCACACTTACTATTCCAAAAAGGCAACTATCTAGATTAAAATTCTAATCCTCAACAATTTCCAACTATCTCTTCTGTCTCATATTCAACTCCTTCGAATCAAACAGATATTTAAAATCCTTATGATCACTAAATACCTCAAGCTTATAATTATACCAGTAATGTTTCCAAAATCTCAAGCGTAAATATTACAACCTCTAATTCAAGGTCATGGGTAAGGTAATTTCTCTCATAAATTTTCCATTACCTATATGCTTAAAGCAAAGAGTGTGGATAGAGGGGACTCCACTAAAACATTTGTGATCAAGGAGAGTTATTTTACCAAACAAGCCTTGAAAAGAACTCTCTTTATTCATGAAAGTTTTGACTCTTATCCTAATGCTGCCACTAATCTTAAAGTTGAGAATGAGGAACAAAATAAATTTCAAGCAAAGAATTCTCAACTTCGAGAGATAGTGAAGAAGGAGTGGACTATTCCTAGTTGTACTCCTTATACTACTTCCTTGAAGGTGCACAAGGAAGGAAGTATTTCAGTGGTCTTAATAAAACACCCAATTTTTGGTTTACATTATTTAGTAGATACAATCTGTAATAATCTATATTCTATGTTTGATCTTATGGGAAGAGCTCCGGTAATATTATCACTAGTCAATTTTTTCTTAAGAGTTTGGAACTACTCTCACACTTACTATTCCAAAAAGGCAACTATCTATTCCTGGTCAATCCAGTCAAAGGTAATCTTATCTTAAAAAATTTCCTCAATAAATCTCCTATAATAATAAGTTAATTCAAGAAAACTCATATCCACACTAACTGACTTTGGTATCTCCCACTTAAGCACAACTTCTACCATAAATAGATCTACATTATATCTTCACTAAAAATTACAAGACCTAGAAAATTCACTTCATACAATAAAAATTCATACTTAGATAACTTGGCGTAAAACTGTCTTGGATATATCTTCACCCTTAACTCTAATATGATGATATCACATCCTTAGGTCAATCTCACTAAACACATAACATTCATTAATTGATCCCTAAAGTCATCTATCCACATATCAACATACATGCATATCAAGTCAGATTAGAATGCCTACTTTAAATCTTTATATACACCATCCCTAAGCATGTACGAATCAATCACCGTTTACTCCATATAGCATGTACATGAACCAATTTTTTTTGTCACATAGCATCATACAACCTTAAACAACCTTTCAATACCTCAGAACATCATATCCAAATCAGTTTTTATCATTGCATTGCCTAATCACCCAAAAACATTAATACATCATATATCTTCCTTTAATAATTGTCAAAGAAATGGTACATAAAGAATTATACTCATCCATATGATCTCAACCTATCACAAGAGAATAAGCTACAACCCTTATGAAAATATGAGATTCTAAAAAGATCATCTTCTTAGCTAAAAAAAAACTTCAAAAATCACAACAAATATATTCAGCGCTTACAACTATAACTCTAATTACCAAAGTAGCTATACTGGAGTTCTATACCTCCTTTTTACCTGATTCCAATTCCATTGGAAAGATAACATCCAAGGCTACCACTTTCCTGAACACTAAAAAATCTAATTTTGTCAATACAGAACTTGTACTAACACAACAAAACTGTAGTGCAAATATTCCCTACACCAGACAGCAATAGTGTATCAACATCTAAGGCCACGAAAATACCTCAATCTTTCCAAACTCACTCATTTCCACCTTAAATTCATATTCAAGCTCTCTACTACAATCCTAAATCAAAACAATTCACGTATTCAACACAAAAGACTTAAAAAATGAAATAAAGTTCACATGCAACCTAAACAATAATCTAAGAAAATAGTACAATTAATAGACATAATCAATCATCACACTAGCATACCAATAAGTTTCACAATCAATTCAGTCCATCATCCATCTACCAAACAAGCATAGTAAACTCATAACTCACGGCCAATTGGATTGACCTGATCTGATACCACTAAATGTGACACCTTTCTACCCCAACATTAATACACAACAAATGTAAACAATTTTTTTTTCTTTTTGAGTAAATAAAATCTTTCATAATTGACAACATCTTTCATGAATGCCTAATTGTAAGTTCACTATGTACTCATACTCGGTCTTCAACTCTTACCACTTCATTAATACCCCAGGCAAACTCTTATTCACTACCTTGTCCTATAGCCTCATGCCTTGCCACCAAAATGAATCGACTAATTATGCTTATTCAATACCCTTCAACAATCCACTCGTTACTCGAGTCATACCTAGTCTCCCACTGCTAGGAGTAATTTCACAAGTCAAACTTAAATTCCTAATTTGAGCCAAAAAGTACATCTCTTTAACCATAAAGAAAGATAAATATAGAGGTTTCCTACTCAAAGCATCGACCACTACATTAGATTTACCCAGATAACAACTAAGATTAAAATTCTAATCCTCAACAATTTCCAACTATCTCTTCTGTCTCATATTCAACTCCTTCGAATCAAACAGATATTTAAAATCCTTATGATCACTAAATACCTCAAGCTTATAATTATACCAGTAATGTTTCCAAAATCTCAAGCGTAAATATTACAACCTCTAATTCAAGGTCATGGGTAAGGTAATTTCTCTCATAAATTTTCCATTACCTATATGCTTAAAAACATAAGTTACTACCTTTTTTTTTGCATCAATAATCTACCCAAACCTGTCTTCAAAGCATCACTATACCACATAAGACTTACTAGAGTCCGGTAATATTATCACTAGTCAATTTTTTCTTAAGAGTTTGGAACTACTCTCACACTTACTATTCCAAAAAGGCAACTATCTATTCCTGGTCAATCCAGTCAAAGGTAATCTTATCTTAAAAAATTTCCTCAATAAATCTCCTATAATAATAAGTTAAAGATCGGAAGTTTAGGCAAGATATTATAGTGTTTAAAAATAATTATTTTCATTGTCATAGTCATAGTGTCATTACATTTTTAGGTTTTACTTCTAGGTTAAGCCTAGAAGAGGAGCCTAGTTCTATTATTAGAGAGTCTAATTTTGATAGTTTATCTTTCTTTGTTAGGTTAGATAGAAGGACTCCTCTTAGGATCCATGATCTTTTCTCTTACCATCTCACTTCTTATTCCTTGCATGTTTTACATGTAGGTGTTAATTTTTCTTCCATGCATCCTCTAGATTTGAGGACAAATCCTTTTCAAGAGGGAGGGGATGATGGAATCATACTTTGGAATGCAAGAGGTGACACACTACAAGATCCAAGAGGAGTGGGCTAGACTTGGAGGATTGGGCCAGTCAAGGCCCAATGGGCCTCATGGGCTTGAAGGGCCCAAATTAAACTTCTTATGGGCTTATTTTGATATGACCATTCTTTTTATGTTTTATTGCAAATTCATAGAGTAGGAAGTTACTATAATTTTGGTCTTGTATTTTGGACTACATAGAGTAGCATTTTAGGTTTTAGGCTTGTTGGGCCTAGTTTTGGGCTTCATGAGCTTTTGGGCTTTTGGTACCCAATATTGGGCTCATTTTCATTCTTGTAATTTTTTCTATTCATTGTATTTCCTTGACCATTGTATTTAGGTCATTAGATTAGGGTTTAAGGAGGATTACTAGTTTAAATGAATTAGGGTAAACTAGGTTTAATTTAAGATGCATTTAACTTGCATTTTGAGTCACATGTTTGGTGCTACCTTGGCTGAACATGTGTGACTCAAAATTCAACCCTAAATGCATATTAAATCAAATCTAATTGAACTTAGCACTAGTGTGACCAGACTTGAACATGTGAGCCAAATTTTGAATTCAAATTTTTGAATTTGAATTCAAACTTGGCACCACATGTGAAGCCTTTCACAATGGCGCCAAGTAACCCTAATTTCGGTTCAATATATACCTCCTTTATCATACATTGTAAACACTTTTGAGATTAATAAAATTGGAGAGCTTATTCAGCCCAATTTTCTCTTGAGAGTCACCGTGAGAGAAAGCTTTACTTTAGGAACCCTACTAGGTTTTCCTCCTCTTTGAAGTGAGCTTTCCCTTGAACCTTAAGCTTGGATGCTTCCATCCAAGGCTTAATCCTACTCCATCCGAGAATCCTCCATCCCTCAAGTGTTCATAAGCTTCGGACTCCATCTCCCTTGAAGAAGATCCGAGCTAGGAGAAGCTAAGGAGAAGAACTCCATTCACTCTTCCTTACCTCCTCCATCACACATTCATGTACTATGCATTTCAAATCTGATCAAACTGTATACGCGTATATGCCCTGTGTTTGGTGAAGAAAGGACCATCTCCTCTCCCATGGATAGTCTAGAAATTGATAAAATCAAAGAATTTAATTTGTTTTTTTTTTCTAAAGAATTGAATTTTAGTCATTGGAATCTATTTACTTTTGTGAAAATGTCTCTTCCCTAATTTAATTTAGGGTCTATTTGGGTAAACTTTTTCGGAAACACTTGTAAGAGAAAAAAATAAAGAGCAAAAATGCAATAAGAAGAAAAAAAAATGAAATAAGTTTCTCAATAAGCTAAAACTAGCTTATGCACATATTAAAAACAATGTTTTGGAAAACTATGAGAAAATTTCTGCAAATTAACTTATACATAAACTAATTTTAGATTATGGAGAAATTTATTTCATTTTTTATTCCTATTTTTTCTCCTAGAAGTGTTGTTTCTACAGAAGTTTATTTTAGGAGACCCTTAATTCCATTCTTGCAAAAAAATGTAATAGGAAAGGAGTAACTCAGTATTCTTGAATTGCTTTAATGAAAAGAAAAAGTGGTAGCCATGAATGGAACCGTTTAAAAGCAGAAAAAAAGGTGCAACCGGGGAGTGTGAAACATTTAATTCTTATTCTACTTTATCTCAACTTCTATTTATACACCGTAAAGTGTTTGTGTTAAACAAATCTGATGTTAACCATTGTTCTGGCTTCCAAACTATTTCAGGAGAATTGCTGAGGTGAAGGCTAATGAAAGGAAGAAAACTCTGGAAGAGATCTTGTATGCATTGGTGGTGCAGAAGTTCATGGATGCTAATATTTCTTTGATACCCTCCATAATCCCAGATCAGTCTGGTAAGGTTGAACTGTGGACAAAGAAGATGGTAAACTTGAACAGCTTCACTCACATGAAGCATATGAGATGATTCAAAACCACTTGAGTCTCATTCTGGGTACCAAAGTAGGAGATTTAACATCAATAGCTGAAATCAGCAAATTCAGGGTAGGGCAAGTCTATGCAGCATCGGTGATGTATGGTTATTTTCTTAAGCGAGTTGACCAAAGGTTCCAGCTGGAGAAGACAATGAAAATTCTTCCAAATGCAACAGAAGAAGAGAATAGTGTTCATCAAACTACAATGGACAATGCAAGTCCGAATATTGAAGAGGACAATTCTCAAGTGATGTCTCATCCTGAAGTATCTACCTGGACTGGTGGTGACGTCAGTCCTAGTGGATTCGGCTATGGTATAAAGCCCACCAGGTTGCATAGCTATGTGATGTCCTTTGACGGTGATACCCTACAAAGATACGCGACAATTAGATCCAAAGAAGCTGTCAGCATCATTGAGAAGCACACAGAGGCATTGTTTGGAAGACCTGAAATTGTTGTAACACCTGAGGGGGCAGTCTCTAAGGATGAAAACATCAAAATTAGCTTTGGTGGTTTAAAGAAACTTGTTTTAGAGGATGTGACTTTTGGTTCTTTTCTCTGGGATGTTGAGAGCTATGTGGACTCTAGGTACCATTTTGTCTTGTGCATTGGGTTGTCCTCTTGAGCTCTGTTTGCTCCCATACATGACAAGGCATAGTTAATAATAGTGTGATGGTACCGACTGATGGAGTATATTTTCTTCCATGTTAAAAGTTCAAGATATTGTTCACTAATCATCTGTATATACTATATAGTTATAGGGCTGTGAATTTTACTAATGAAAGGAAGGTTATTTACAAGGTAAATATTTATTTGTCCTTTTTTTCCCTGCAACAAAGCCATAATGATAAAGCATCAGCTTTTGTGATTTTCCTCCTTTGCTGCCTGGTTAGATGGCTTCATATTTAGGTTTGCAGAATATTGTTTGTATAATTTATAAGATAATGGCTTGGTGGTATTTGCATCTGGACTGATTATTCAGGGGGCACTGGTGGTTTTTTTAGCCTTCCCCCGTGTCACTAGGCCAACCTTAAGCCAGTAGTAACAACAAGGGTGTAGAAAGTAGGAACAGAGCCCAACATTAGGAACTGGATGGAACAACTGAAAATGCAGTTTCCTGGCGCCCTTGGGTAGCAATTAAGAGCACTCCAGTCTCCACTTTTATTGCAGAATCAATTTTCAACCCCACGCATAGGGATTCCATTAAGTTGCCCGTGTTCTTTCTTTATTTTTATTTTTTTCAAAAATAGTGGGTTGTTTATTATTCCATTCTTTCAATTTAAATACTAGGAGTTAGAGTTTCATTGTTAATGATGATTTTATTCGGTTTGAACTGGATTGTTTTCTTCAATGAAGGATAAACATGGTTTATAAAATTAAAAAAAAAAAATCAAGTTTTTAAAATAAAAACTTAAATGAGTTAATTTTTTTATTTTCCAATGTAGTTTTATTTTATACTATCATTATTACATGATTAATATTTTTTAAAACCTGTACTCGAACTTGTTTTAGTTATTTTTATTCTGTTGTTTTATTTTAAAATTTGTATTTCTTTTTTTGTTATTATGTTATCGGTGAAAAGAGTTTATTATTTTTTCTTTTAAAATATGACTATAGCTAAGTAGTGATTGAATTATATAATAATTCGTATTTAAATGATGTCTAAGAAGTTTACGTTAAATATTTAAAAATTAATTAATATTTGTTATTTTAATATTATAATGCATAAATTAAATATTTATTATATAATTAAAATTTATAATAAATTACATATACTGATAGTATATAAATGATTAACTCAAAAATTTAATAGGATTTTTCACTGATTTAACTTAATTTTAGGTCGATTTCCTATATTTATATTAGATATGTTATTCAATAATGGATATTTATATGTATTTTTAATATTATTTTATACATTAAGATAAAGTAATATATTAAACTATCAAATAATTTTAAAATTATATGCAATGTTATATACTTGATCATTACTTGTGTGTGTATTAGGATTAGTTATTTGTATTTGATGATATTATATTCATGATTATGCATATCAAATTTAAAATATTTTAAACTCTTTTATATATGTTATTTAATAAAAAATATTTACATAATTTTTGAATATCATTTTATACTTTAAAATAAAGTAATATAATGAAATACCAAATAATTTTAGAATTATATACAATGTCATATACTTTATCTAATTAGTAATATGATTAAATTCAACAATTGAATTAATTAAATTTCTATTTTATAAAAAAAAATTTAAAATTATTTCACTAATTAATGGATCCAAATACCCCTCCTCCTTATCCCCTTATCCCTTCCTCCCACCTCCCTCTCTCTATGTATATATATATCTCTCTATGTATATATATATATATAAGTAAGTAATTTTTATATTTTATTTAATAAAATTATTTAAAAATTATTAACTTTTATTAGATAAAATGATATTATGCTTAATTCTCAAACTCTTAAATTTAAATCTTATATTTTTAAGAATAATTATTTTTTAATATTATTTTTTATTATTTACAAATTTAAGAGTAAAATCATTTAAAAATATACACATCAAATCAAGTTATCACTTATATATAT